GCTTCGAGATACGAGTAATTCAAGATACGAGCAAGGTTGCGGAACGAATTAAACTCGTATGTCGAGGTACCACTGTATTACACTGGTCTACACTGAAAATTATGTTTTTGATAATGCATCAGTTTATGACTTAATATAAGGTGCTGATCACGAATATAATGTTAGTTTTTATGTATCTCATCAATATTTAGAGATATAACATATACATATTTAGGCCACAATGTGGTACATCAGTCCATATAAGCGGTACGAAAAACACATTGAACACAAATAAAAACTGAGAACGTCATACACAAAAGGTACTTTATTTACTGTAGTATAAGAAAATGTAAAATGCTACAGTCAATCCTTCATGAATTTCAACCTTTTTGATTTTCTCTTATAAGTGTATTCCGTCAGGTCGCGGGAGTTTTCTATAGGAAAATATTATTTTGGTGAATACACTTTATGGTCATTATCTATAGATTTTGATGACATACAGAAAAAAATAAGAGTAGATTCGGAATCAGCGCCATTGGATTACCTAAAACGAATTTTAAATGCTCAAAGATCAAAAACCTTTTGAAATTTTGTAGACCTGTGTTATTCACTTTTTGGATAGATGTATATTTCCCACACAGAATCAAATACTTTACAAATTACTATAATTTGAGCAACTTTAGCCAACAAATTTCGCTACATAAGTATATCCTATATACATATATCTCAATTGGGATCAGACATGATAAGCCACGTTTGGAATATAAAAAGAGAGATTAAGAGGAACGTGGTAAGTTTCTTTATTAAGCAGTATACGAGCTTTCGGACGTCAGCCGTCCTTCATCAGGTATTGACATGAATGAGAAGGAGATGCTATATTTATAAGCGACAGTTTAGCATAAAAAATATTAAACAAGAAATAAAAGATTAAAAAGATTTGAGATTTGCATGCCAGTAATAAAAATATTTAAAAGTGTACAATATATAGATTTAAGAAAATCTGCATACCTAGGATGAAGGGAAAAAGGCGGAAAACTAGAGGCGAAGACAAAAGCAAAAATAAAAATAAGAATATAAACGAGAATATAAAAAACAGCGGAATAAAGATAAAGTTAAAAGTTACGAAGGAGGTGTATCTGTTGATATAGAATAAAAAGCAGAATATTGGGGCGGGAGGTCAATCTTTCTGTTGATATATTTTCACATTTTTCACACCCAATCAAAAAAGAACCACACCTCCTTTATTTAAAAGCACCTGCGTCCTCCCATACTCCACCACGAATTCCGGTATTGGTTCCTTTTTACGTAAATTCGGCATTCGCACTCTTTACCAGTGCACACCTTCCCTTTACACCTTCCTAAGACATCCAATCACAAAAAGCTCCGCCAAACGTAACCCCCAATCCCTTTCTAACGCCGTTTACAAAATTCCTTGTAACGATTGCGATTTATGCTATATTGGAGAAACAGGCCGAACAATCGCCATCAGAGCCAGTGAACACGCCCGCAACATCCGCTCGAAAGACAAAAAAATCGCTCATATACCAACATATCGCCGAATCCGGACATTCCTTCAATCTCGACAATACAACCCCCGTTTATAGCGATATAGCAAATAAATACCAACGCTTAGTTCTCGAAGCCCTTGTCTCCAATACTACACCCAGCCTCAACAGAAAGATTGACCTCCCGCCCCAATATTCTGCTTTTTATTCTATATCAACAGATACACCCCTCCTTCGTAACTTTTAACTTTATCTTTATTCCGCTGTTTTTTATATTCTCGTTTATATTCTTATTTTTATTTTTATTCTTGCTTTTGTCTTCGCCTCTAGTTTTCCGCCTTTTTCCCTTCATCCTAGGTATGCAGATTTTCTTAAATCTATATATTGTACACTTTTAAATATTTTTATTACTGGCATGCAAATCTCAAATCTTTTTAATCTTTTATTTCTTGTTTAATATTTTTTATGCTAAACTGTCGCTTATAAATATAGCATCTCCTTCTCATTCTTTCTCTCAATTTCTTTCTGATGAAGGACGGCTGACGTCCGAAAGCTCGTATACTGCTTAATAAAGAAACTTACCACGTTCCTCTTAATCTCTCTTTTTATATCTCAATTGGTTTAAATCTCCTGGATATAAATCTAACATTGCCACAGCTTTCTGGAGATGAGTTTCTTTTATCTTTATTAACGTAATCTCGAGTTTTCGGGCATTTCTGCCCTTTTACAGGACTTCTACTCCTGTAAAAGGACAGAGATACCTGAAAGCTCGAGATTACGTTAATAAAGATAAAAGATACTCAACTCCAGAAACCTGTGACATTGTTTGATAGCCGTATATCTTCATAAATCTACAAGTCTATATTGAGTGCTACACCATTTACAATTGAATCCTCTCCGATAATGTGTTAAACCAACCTTAACACACAAAGAATGTAATAAAAAACAATAGAAAAAATGAAAAATAAGTGGGTCAGGTGTTGATTTTAAAAATAAAGAGAACATATCCTGAGCACAAGCACATATTTTTGCTCCACTAGATGGCGCTCTTTCATTTAAAAAGCACATGTGCTTGTGGTCAGGATATGCTCTCTTTATTTTTAAAGAATGTAATATATATTTCTCTCCCTCTCAATATCATAAATATTTAAAATATGTAAATAATAATTTGTATATAAAAATAGTATTTATCATTAATTTATAACGTGATACTCCTGTTAAAAGACTGACAATTCCGAAAGTTTTGAAATAAAAAGTTGTACAAGAAAGTTAGCCCTGGAAGATTTAATTATTCTATAAACCAACCTTAAACTTGCTTCCTCTCAGGTAGGCGGTTGACTTAGCATCCACTTTGTGATAGATCTCCAGAAGTCGCTGCTCCTTCTCTCGAAGCGCCACTTTTTCATCAACATAGCTGATGATTTCCTGTAAAAACACACCATTCAGCAATAAGCTTATGCTTTATACATACAATAAATTACATTGAAAATGTAACACCAAGGATAAGTAGCAAAATAAACGCATGCGTCCGAAAGCTTGTTAATAAAATTCGCACAAGATACCCCTCTTCAATATCAGTTTTATTTTGCTATTTTAACTCGAAGAGTTAAATTTAGTCGACCAAGGATAAGTGGCCTTGATATCATGCAAATTTAGGTCTAGCCTCATTTCACTGAGATTAGCAAACATTATAAAATACATAGCTCTAATGCACACGCCTTATAAGATACATTGAAACTTCCAAGTAAAAGAGACCTAGTTACAAAGCCAAAGTGTTTTTTAGGGAGAAGTATTCTCTTACCACAGAGTATCTAAATAGTAAAAATGGTAATTTTGGTGACGAAACATGTCCTTTGTAGAGAGGTGTCTTCTAGCGTGAGTGTCCTCTCATGGAGGTTCTACTGTATAAGGAAAGAAACTATAGACTTTTTGTAATTTCAGTTAGGGGAATCATTGTAGAAATGTTTTACTGATCTTAGAGGATACTTGGAAGAGCAGAGAATGCTAGAACGATCTCAGCGGAAGCAATTCCAGAAGACAGACAGGTTTGGTGTTAGGGCTTGAGTCAGGTCGTTCCATTCCTCTATTCGCAGCAGTCATACACCTAGATGCGTCCACAGGACACATACTATGGAACAGATAGTTTTAAGATGGAAATGTGGCATGTTTGAGACATGGTAGTGTGGCCTGAGCAAAGTCAGTATGCCTGGATTAACGTATTCTTCGACATGTGGATGGTTTGGTGCGACCGTTGACACTCCTTACTTTCACGTGATGCTCAGTGTCCTGAACCAACAGGATAACGCACGACTATGCGCTCTTACATCAGCCAACATAATATTCTCGTGGTGTACCGATACTTCTTCAGCCACTATACTCTCCGTAACTCTCACCGATCGAACACTTCTGGAACGTCATTAGACACCGCTTGCAAACCCTTCCACATCCGTATTCAGAAAATCAACCATTTAATTAAAAAGGCATATATTAGATCAAAATATAATTCATTTACCAATATTTAAGTTGGCTGAACGCCAACATTTTTCAATGTATTATAACAAATTAATGCGTGACATGTGACGCACGCATTAATATGTTATAATACTTAAAAAAAAAAAAAGGTTTGGCGCTCAGCCAACTGAAATATTAGTAAATAAATTATATTTTGATTCAATATGGTTGCTCCTTATTTTCTTGAGGACTGTATTTTTGTTCCTTAATAAGGCTCCACTCTGCTGCTGCCTACCTCGTGTATTCCTATCAAACCAACACCAACACCATGAAACACACACACTGACTTTATTTAAAACAACAAAACTATTTATACACCTTGGCTCATGGTCAAAATAATTAAAACAGAATAACTTATTTTAAAACAAAACTATGCAAAAATAGGCAGTATTAACACTTGACTCAGAATTTTGTATATAAATAGCGACAGTTTTTAGCTACCAGCAGTCAGTCAAATTATGTTAATAAACGAGATTATTGGAGTCTGTTTGCCTCGTTGAAGCGACACCTCACTCTTGGCTACCTCCCAACTTTCTAGGATAAAACAACTCTGGCGACGAGGATGGGATTCGAACCCACGCGGGCAAAGCCGAACGAACGTGTAAGTATGTATAAATTTACTGTTATTGTGCATGAATGAACACTCTGGAGCAGTGAAGCAGGTTCAGGTGCTGGTATTAGAGAGGCTCATATTGAATGATCCATTAGAGCAAAAATAAGCTAATAATGTCGTAAGAAGTATGGGTTAATAGGAATTCTCTAGAGGAAAACTTAGTTGAAAGCTTTATTTACAAAACGACATTTAAAAATTATCCCGCATGAGTTTCTTTTCAATGAAAAATCAAAATTTATTTAAAGGAGAAATAACGATTATTTCTAACCTTAAAGATGAGGTATGAAAGGATGAATTGTGAAAAGTAATGATAAATGGAAAAATAAAAGTGTCCGGGGATAGGAATCGAACCCACAGTGTTCCGCTTACCGGGCAGATGCCATGTCATATGGTCCAGGGTAGCCTAGTGGACATGGCATCTGCCCGGTAAGCGGAACACTGTGGGTTCGATTCCCATTCCTGGACACTTTTATTTTTTCGTTTATCATTACTCTTCACAATTCATCCTTTCATACCTCATCTTTAAGGTTAGAAATAATCGTTATTTCTCCTTTAAATACATTTTGATTTTTCATTGAAAAGAAACTCATGCGGGATAATTTTTAAAAGTCGTTTTACAATCACAAGCCGCATTATATTATATTGCTTTATTTACAGCTTACAAAGTTTCAGAGAGGCATTAATGTAGGTTGGAATACGATGGTCAAATCGCCATGAAGTACGTCACATCAATCGTCCTGACTTTGCCATTCGATTGTGTTAAGAATATTGGAGAGACAGGTCAGTTCTCTGTAGAAAGACGACGACTTTGCCGTGGATATAAACCCCAGCGACCCAGTCTATAATTGAGGCTTATGATGGAAGGCTCTAGTGTTTCAGTATCCATAGCTAGATTACTTCTCAAAATATATATAGAGAAGCGAATATATTATCTGTAACGTTTTCATCTCTTAATTTAGCTTTAGGAGTGAGTATATTCTTTATTTAAAGACATTAAAAAATATGAATATTGAAAATGATACATATATGAGCCTTTAAAAACATCTTACACAGATGACTCTATCTAAAGATATTCTTTCAGGAATAGATGCAGATGGGTTTCACAAAAATGCTATGTAACCTATTTAAACTTTATATTGTATAACGCTTTTTATAAATGAGATTCTGAAATATCAATAAAATCTGTAAGAAAGTTTTGTTGCTGTTTATGAATTGATTTCATATCAAGATGCGGAGAGGGAAATCTAATATCAGCATCCTTTGCGTGTCCTGTCATTTACATCTTAGTCCAGGCTTATTTGTTTAAATTAATGTCTAGCCAATCATAATTGAAGGTCACTAAATGCTATTCAGTAATGAATTTACGGCTTAATTTTCTGATAATCACAGTATCTTGATTTGGATTTTACCGTCGCTGGCTAACGCGTTGTACTGAAACCTCCTGGTGTGGTGTGGCATCACCTACGATAGCCGCCCTTTTTATGTAACATATTATACGCTTTATGGATGCTATTCTACGGGTTCTATATTACTTTTCTGAGATTCCTGGAGCAATTTTACATCAGGAGATAATACTTGGATACAAATGGCAAGTGATGTTTAGACTCTTTCCTGGCCTGCATTTTCCCCAGATCTGTTCCCAGCTAAAATACTTGTAGTTGCTTTCACACACTATTTTGGATTCGGAATCCTCTGTTCAAGAAATGTATTTTCACAGGACACCAGACATCTGTTTGATTCGCTGCGTGAATGGGCAGCTATACGCATCAACAGCAGAGAGCGGTTTGACACTCTATCGATAATAAGGTAAATTCTACAGGTAATCAATTCAACCTACAAGATGTCACATAACTTATTGTTGCATCATGGCTAATGAACCTATTTTATTTTAATTTGTAATACTATTTTTCATATATTTTAAATTTAAATTTATATTTATTTATTTTATTAATCAGAATATACGTATTATAAACAGAATATATGTATTATAGAATCATCATTTGTATTTAGGTACACTGTGTGACTTCACAGCTCTCTTTAATGTGAGAAATAAATAATTTACTCTCTGGAGGCTACTTAAAGTAGAGTTATCTCATTATTCCCTTATATAAATTTGTAGGATGGTTGAAACACGCTCTGGTAAGAAGCAAGACCCGGCACTGGAGAGGATCAAGGTTGAAGAGTCTGCCAAGCCGCAACCTGGTGCAACAATATTCTCCAAATACAATAGACTCATTCTACAATCTCCAAAGACAATAACAACATAAACAGAAGATCTACCCCAACAGTTCCAGCATATTCAACGCAGATAATTCCACCCCCATTGAAACTGTCCACCTAACCCTCTACAACTGCAAACTATTTTTATATTTGATTTTTTGAAAATGTATTTCTGTGAATCTCTATTATATGTATGTTGCACGCCTTTGCGGAGCCAGTGGCCTGATGAAGCACGACCATGTGAAAGCTTGCCTCCCGATATCTGAATAAAGAAACTCTGCAAATATTTTAAAATTTATTTAATTTTTTTTTCAATAATCTTATTCTTCTTTCTTATCTCCACGCTGGGTGAAGTAGAATGCGTCTGTCTTTGTCATTAAGACTGGGAGCACTACTCAGTGGCAGGCCAACTTAGCTCCAAAATAAATGGGTACAGGGTACTATCAGCCAGGCCAGATGAGTCCAGGTTTTTTAGCGAGCTTGTTACTGCTCCCCCTCCTCCTTTTTCATCCGGGCTTGGGACCAGCAAGGGCGGAGTTTAATTCAATAATAATAAATGCATAGATGATGATATATATTATTAAAGGTACAAAATCGAGAGGTATAGAGTTTCTTGTGAAGAATTTATTTGACCGAGCTTCCAAACACATCTGAACTTATACAGGAGTGAAAATGAGAACGTAAAAGAAGAATAGAAATTCTCTAAAGTTCGGCCAAATAAAACTTTACAAGAAACTTTTCATCTCACGAATTCGAACATTTAATAATTTACTGTACCAGATGATTATCCAACCAATGCCATATGTCCATAAAATCAACTTGTATTCTCTGTAAAACTCTGATTTTTAAAAACATTTGTTTGTTCTAAGAGCGAAAGTAAATTAAAAAATTGTAATATAAGTTGGATGATTACTTCGTTATGCGTAAATTTCATTATCCGTTATTGTATATTGTGTTGCATCAACACAGTTATACCTAAGTAGGAACTGTTTAATAAAATATATAATGGTACTTTATTGACATTAAAGGATTTCAGGCACATATAAACAGGACGAGAATTCCGAACCAAGAAGGCTGCATTTAATTATGGAAAATTATTAGTTTAATTAACGAGAATGCAAACGGCTTGGCACGGTTTTTATCCGAGCGAAATTTGCCTGACAAACATTTGGTAAACAACATTTTCGGGGCAAACATCCACTCTCTGCTGAATTTATTCTTGTCAAGATAAATTGCTGTTTTAACATTTCTCTACCAAAGCCACTGAATAAACCATTAAAAAATTTTGTAATTTACAAATATAATTCCACCAGATACCGCGAGAGGCGCTGCTTGCTAGTGAAATTGGCGAATTGGCATATAAATTGCAACAAATATTCATTTCAAATTAAATTCAAATCCGAAACTTTCCTAGTGGTATACCAAACAGCATTCAAATGTTTCATCGAAATCAGATGAGTGGTTTTGTCAGGCATAAAAGACAGCCATTCATTTATATATAAATATATATAGTAGAACTTATTCGAACACATTTAATTTGAATATTTATCTTGGTCCCTAGACTTTTAAGCCTTTTATTCAAAACGTTTCTAATTCGATTTTTTTCTGTCACATGGGCTTTGAATTATCCAAGTTCGATATATAGATAAAATTATAAATATATACATAATTACATAGGAGCTTACTGAAAACTGGTAGTAAACTCTAATAAATGCATATAATATTTCTTTGTGTTTGTATGTGGGGGTGGGGGGGGGGGGGGGGGGTAAATTTAACAAGAAAACATTTTGAAAAAATGTTCAAGGAAAAAAAGACACAGGTTTCACACTGAAATATACAGACTGAAATACTGAAATATACTTATATAGAGTCATTTTAAATAAGATTGCCAAAGAAATTCTTACTTTAATACTTTCTAAGGATTCCTCCAGATTCCTTCGATCATCTGCACACCCTGGTCATACAGAATCTGAGGAAGGGGGAAGCTTACCTTTGGACACCTTTATCATCCGTTCGATCAGCAGCGGGTACTTGGTGATGCGCTGGGTGACCAGCAAGATGGTCTCTGGGATGCCACGTTTCTTACATAGTGGCTTCTGGGAGCATCGCTGTACACGCCGAGTGTCGTGAACCGTTTGTAAAACAACCCTTTGATACACACTCAGCTAGCCTTGTCGATCCAGATTGAAGAGTTTTCTTTTCTCGCAGATTCAAATAATAATTATATTATATTTAACTTTATTTTAACAACCTATAACACGATATCCTAAACTCAGGGATATTTGTGTCAATACATTTCTTTACATCATAATAAATTGGCCATATACAAGTTTATACAATTCAATTATTTTGCATAATTATATAAAGAAAATCGGTCATGGAGGAAAAAGAGAAGCATACAAAAGCCATTTCCTAGAATTCTTCTTCCCTCTATTACCCAGTTCAAAATATAGTTGTATATATATCTACAAATTTGATAAAAATGTTCTTTCTCATCTACGAACTTATTTAGCTGTCCGATGCCACTAAACTTTCTTTTCCTCTAATCCCGAAAAAATGGGAATTCCAGAAGTAAATGTTTCGAGTCTTCAATTTCACCTCCGCAGGAGCATCCCGGTTCCTTCACCGCGCCGATAGTTGACAAAAATTTCCCAAATATTCCATGAACAGTGATAAATTGGATATTATAAAACTCTGGGAGGAAAAAAACTTGGAAATATATTATATTTGAAATTGACACAGGGTCAAAAAGGAATGCAAGGACTGTTATATAGTCTCTGGCTTTGTCATTTGACTTAGCCAAATTTTTCTTCTGTACACACCGAGTGGATTGAAACACTGGCTACAAGGTTGTCCCAAAAGTTCGTAAACATTTACAAAAATTGAAATACCAATATTATTCGCCGTTATATATAATGTCTTTGTATTATGTATAAAGTAATTGTATTATGTGTATTATTATGTATTCGCCGTAATAATTCACCAAGTAATAATAAAAACAACGTTTTAAGAAAAATACGGACTTTTGGGACAATCTTATAACATATTACTCTATCTACATACTCATTGGACGTATTTACATACCTTGATAAAGTCCTGGAATTTGCGGTCGGATTTGAGGATGTCTTTGTAAAGAGAAAGGGCGTCCTTGTGGTGGCCGCAGAACTGGCTGTAGGCGTGTTTCAGCCGCGCGGCGTTCTCTCCTCTGAACTGGAATAGCCCACAAGAAAACTATTTAACTAAAT